ACCTCTTCAGCGCAATCAGGCTGATAAAATGTCCATCCATCCATCAAAAGGACTTTCGGGGTTTTGTCGTATCAAAATCTGGGGTCCCGTTATCCTACCCCGCCACCAGGAAGTCTCAACAATACAGTTCCCATTTGGTGGGAAGCAAGGAATACCCAAAATACTAAAAATAGGTAAAAAAAAAAGGACTACGAAAAATCCCAGGCAGGTAGATTGGTCCCTTCCAGTTAGATGGTTCCCTTGGAAGTTGGAACTACACTAAAGACTTCCTCCATTCTTTCCTCCTTTTCTTCCCTTTTTTTTTTTTTTTTTTTTTTTTTGTTTGGTCTTCGCAATAACTCAGCTTGGAACATGCGATAGTCGTGAGCCATAGGTCTTCACTTCGGTCTATGCGCCGAATCAGGGGCCAAAGGCCACACCCGGAAAATTGCCTGAACCAAGGCCTGCTGCTGTGGGTACCCGAACCATGGCCTAAAACTGGGCTTCGGAGGCCCTACGTGCGACAGTTGACCGTGAAAAGTCAAAGGGCAACAACAACTTGGAAATTCTGGCTCACGAGTAAAAGTCAGCATGGACCCAGCCCATGCCACCGATCAGACACACACTTGGCTGTTTGCAGGTATCTGCCGAGAATCCAGTCCAAGTGGGAATCTGCAACTGTATGAGATCCAGGCCATTGACTGAAGGTCAATCTGGGCTATCATAGCTGAGAGACCAGAGGCTGGTCAATGGGAGTCAACACTATATGTTGACCCATCCCCTGCTGATGGATAGTCAGTCTTGCACTTGCTGCTCGACGCTCGACGCTGGCTCGATATTGGACGACAACGCGATACTGCTACTGCTAAGGGCTGGTGCCGTTCTGTGTCTTCGGCGCCAGCTCTCTTCTTGATTATTGCTGACGTGGCTTTTGCCACACTGTCTACGACATTGATGTGGTATTGGCAAGGAGGAGGAGGATCAGGGCTGTGAGATTGGTCAAGTGAAGAAAGGAGAGCTTACCTGTTCACGATGGTGTCGACATTGCGCTCTGCTGTTGTCTTCAGAAGGACTCTGCGCCGATTGCGCCATGTTGAGATCTGTTCGATGTCAGTGTGTGTCAGAGGAAACTGTCTGGTGATGTGGGGAGTAGGAGATGCCCGAAGGCGGAGTGGGCCAAGAGGGAGATCTATCTGCTGAAGCTGATGGTTACTTTCTCTTCAACCCTCTCAGTCTAATCTCCCTCTCATTACTCTCTTCTTTGGTTACTTGACATTGGACTCTTGATTACTGGTACGATTGGAGACACTGAAACTGCGCTGAGACATTCTGTACTTCGACATTGTTGAGCTTTCCTCCTGACTGGGTTCATTGCAGTCTTCCTCCATTCCTTTTGAACAACAACAACAAGGGAACTTAAAAGAAACCAAACGAAACGAAACAAAACACAACAAACTAAGAAGCAGGGAGCTGATAAGAAGCTACAGAAGTAGAAGCAGGAGGTAGTGTCTTCATGGTGAACTCACTTGAGTTCTAGGCTACCAGCCGGGCCGCCTGGGTGGCAGGGCCGTGCAAGGAACAAAGAAGGTCCCGGCAAAAAAAAAGTCAAAAAACAAATTCCAAAAAAATTGAAGTGGTAGGGCCGTGCAAGGAACAAAGGTGGTCCCGGCAAAAAAAAAAAGAGTCAAAAAACAAATTCCAGAAAATCTGAAAAAAAAACTGCCGTGCAAGGAACAAAGGTGGTCCCGGCAAAAAAAAAAAGGGTCAAAAAACAAATTCCAGAAAATCTGAAAAAAAAACTATGTTATGCAGAAAAGTAAACCGAACAACTTTTGCCTCAGGGTCAAATCGAAATTCTCTACCAAATTATTTTAAAAATCCATTTTTTAAAGGCTACCACCCGGGTGACCTTGTTTGCCCAGGCGGCCTGGCCATGCAAGGGCCAAAGTAGGTCCCAGCCAAAAAAAAAAAAAAAATCGGAAAAATCTGAGTCTGACACCACAGTGCTGGAAACCGGGTCCAGCGTCCCATATCCAGATTATAATCCCGTTCTGCCCTGAGGAGTGGTCGGGTGCGGGGGAGGGCACCGGGGGCCACCGGTGGAGACTCCCTCCAAAACCCAGCCCTACCCACCATCTACTATCCTCGTGGTGTAGGTAAAATGAAGAGATAAAATGGAGATGAAGTAAAATGAGAAGTAAATGAGAAGTAGTTGAGAAGTAAATGAGAAGTAAAAAGAAACCGGAAGGGACTAGGAACTCCTGCAGGTGTTGGATAAGACTGAAAAGGAAGACTGAACAAACTGATCAAAGCTCATGACTCAGGTGGCACTTCCTCCAAGGACAGGGGTGGGGGGGGAAGGGGTCTGCAAAATCCTGGGCGGGCCGTAACTGGTCTCCCTGATCTACCTTAGTCCAATCATGAAAAACCAACCGATAATCCCTTTCAATCTCTACTGGGTGTTCCTCTTGCAGAACTCCTCCCAATTGCTGATCCCTGGCCCACCTTACCTCCGCCACCCATCCCCCTCTTTCCCCTCCCAACCAGTCCTTGCCAAAGCGGGAGATGATTCGGTGAATATCTCCCCGGGTGTGTATCTGGTCGAGTTTGTCTTTTGTCGCCCTCCACTGGGCGGTGAGCTCATGCTGTACTAGAAGCCGTAGGTGTTCCGTAACCTCTCTCTCTTCCACCCTTGCTCCTATGCAGAAAAATAAAGTGAATAACTTTTGCCTCAGGGCCTGGACCCACTAGCAAGGTATTCTACCACGCCGTTCAGGATTTCGATCACGTGTGGCCTCGAGTGACTCAGTATGGCCGTCGAATACATCGGATCTCGACGGCCTGGTAGTTTCCGAGCAGGGACTGTAAAGATGCCCACCTCCGTCCAATGAGATGCATAGAAAAACAAAGAAAAAGAAAATTGGACATGATAGCTCGTGGCTTTGTGTGGGCGGGAAGTCTGGATTTTATGTGCTCGAAAGGGGGGGGGGTTGATTT